GCATGGTGCATGCTTTATTGAAAAATCACCCTAGATCGTTCCCTGAGTTATTTTTTCCTCCCCCACAAACACCCAGAAATGCAGCATGCAACCATGCAACCCCCTATGGCCCAGCAAGTCTCTCTCTCTCTCTCTCTGACTCTCTTTTTCTTTCTCTCTCTCTCTCTCTCTCTCTCTGAGCTCGGGACTGGAGCATGATGACTGAGTAACGCTTTTTGATAGCTGGTCCGATGGCTTCGATAGCCTGAGAGGTTTGCGTGTTCATTTCTTTGTGAGCAACTCTCTCTCTTTTTTTTCTCCCACTCTGTCTCTCTCTCTTTCTCACTCTTTCTCTCTCCTACCGAGGCTCAAAAACCTGGACTGGCAAGGAGTAATGCCTCGCCACAAGGGCGGCCCCGTAGTTAAGGAAGGCTTCGTTGTTACTACTACTACTACTACTACTACTACCACTACCGAAGAGAGAGAGAGAGAGAGAGAGAGAGACAGAGGGAGAAATTTGCACTTGCGCAAAGTGCAAAGACGTGCTTTGCTTGGAACTCGTAGCATGAGCGTGAGAGATAGAGAGAGATGGAAAGAGAGAGGGAGAGAGAGATTTAGAGGGAAAAAAGAGTGGGAGATGTATGAAGCCGCTGAAGGATTTGACACCAGCGCTGATGCTTCAAAACAAGACGTCAGTAGTGATGACTTTCTCTCTCTCCTTCCTCTCTGTCTTTGAACTCGGGACTAGTGCGGGTTCACCAGACCCCGTTAATGAGGACGGTTAATAAACCACAGCTTATTTTTACTCTATATATATACATATATATATATATGAGGTCGTTCGGTTTTGTGGAGAGAGTTGAATGCTTGGGGAGGGGGGGGGTTGGCAATGCTCTGAAAGCTGTAGGGTTCACCCGTACAACGACTTGCCGGCTGGCCGTTTCATTCAAGCTTCGGTGTTTATGTTGTGGTAGCCTTTCAGCAAATCTTTGGATGGATCATATGGAAATTTAAGATGAGATGCATCCCCAACACCTCGGTGAACACTGCGAGACACGTGTGTTGGACGTCACATTGAACATGATGATTGTGATCATGAAGAAATACAAGACATTCCACGGCTCGATTCCGAAATGGATGCTGACGTCATTACCAACGGAACATTGCATTTCAAAAAAGTGTGGGGGGGTGGAATACTTCTCACAGAAATTGAGAGAGCGTCTCGTCCAGCAGGGCGTGCCAGTGGCTTCCAGTGAAAAACTCCTGCAGGAACTAGAGTATAGAATGGTGCAGCTGGGCCGGGACTGACTTGCTGCCTCGATGCTGGTGGTGGAGCCTAGGACCGATATGTGTGGCCTGGAATGTTTGGCGAGGGACAGATAACTGCGAAGCAAGAGGCATCGCCAAGGTAGAAGATGGATTGCAGTGTGTCTTTGCTATTGTGTTCACTTGCGTGACATGGCAATCCATTCGGCTGGCATTCGTTGATTTTTGTGATTGGGTTTTATTGTTGCTGCTTGAGTGGTTTAGCGCCGCCGTGTGACGCTGCAGCCCTATTCGTGACCCTTGTAGAGCGTCTCCTTCTTTGGTTCGCCATGGCACTGAGCAACATCGAGTTTGTGGACATCGCCGGAGGGTTTGGCTGTCCGAGTCGAAATCCGACCGTACGAAAAGCGCTGCGCAAGGGGTACACGGTGCGTGTCACCATTTCGAATGGTCGGAGTCTTGATGAGGAAGTGCGATGTGAAGCCTGCAGCAGTTGCCGAAAATGCCATCGTTTTGTCCAACTGGAGTGGTTGTGTATTAAGGTACTCCCAGCCCATCCGGTACATATGGAAAACATACAGGAGGCGGCGCTGCTGCTCGAACACGGCCCGCGCTTGCCGTGTCTGCTGCCGTTGTGTTTGGGTCGGTTTGAGAGACCTTGACGAGATGCAAGGGGTCGTTCGATCACCCTGGATATCTTGGTGCTGGAGTTCGTGGCTCCGAGCTTGCGGCATGTGTTGGAGGGGCTGGAGCGGGAAAATGCTCCGGTGTACCAGCAGAAAAGAGTGGAGGAAATTTTCGCGAGGTGGTCTGGGCTTGCCATGGATGTGGCAACATGGAATGGTTGTGGATCGCTTAACATGGGACTATCTTCGTTTTTGTGGGCGGACATCGAGTTGGAAATTTGACGATTTTGGAAACATCCAGTCCTGTCCTGCCTGGAATAAGCTTTCGTAGGTGGCTCAAGCCATTAGGACGCACGTCCGGAAAGTCGGGTTGGAGATTGGTGGGACTCCAAGTCAGCTGTACAAACTTTTGTGGGAGTCTCAGTTCCCGAAGCACCTGTGGGAGGAGAGCTTGTGGTTCATAACGTATCTGAGAGAATTTCGGATCTTCCAGCTGCCTGGCGAGCTGGCGAAAATGCCCGGCTTTGGACTGGGAGCTTTGGCAGCGGCTGGATCATCCAATTTGAAGATGCCGCCAGTCTATCGCGTTTCCGGTGCCGAGCTCGGTGTGGATTCTGTCCGGGTCGGTGTGACTGTTGGGCAGATGAAGAAATATCTGAGCGAAGTATACGAAATGCCCGTGTGTCTCCAAACAGGTCTTCAGTGGCTCTATGGAAGTTTCAAAGCACGTGTCGTGGGCTGAACTGGTAGCTGTGACAGTCTGCTCATGGTGTTGAGCATTGAAGGTTTGGCTCGTTGCATGGACGAGGCGAGAGATGATTTTGCACTGGCAGCTTGCTTGGGCCGGATAGATACGGTGCGCTCTTTGTTGGATGCTGGTATGCGTGCCGACACACTGGTGTGCGATCATAAGTCTATGACCATGCTGATGGTGGCACGCCTGCGTGGCCAGGTAGACGTCGTAGAGTTGCTCATCGAGCGTGATGCTGCGCTGGACACCGTTTGGCGTCCCTACAGTCGCACCGTGTTGCAGCTTGCATCTCGGCTGAGTCATCTGAGCGTTGCAAAACTGTTGCTTTGCAAACGGGCCGACCCTCATTTGCTTGACGTGCGCGGCAGAACGGCGTTGATGATAGCGTCTGATTCGGGTCAGTTCGGAATCGTAAGCTCTCTGCTTGGATGTTGGCTGACGCGCGGTCTTGGGACGAGGAGGGCATGAGGGCGCTCATGTGGGCGTGTGCTGGAGCTCACGTAGACATCGCTCGCGAACTGCTCGTTGCTGGGGCGGTTGTCAATGCTTTGGACGAAAAGGGAATGACGGCGTTGATGTACACCGCAGCCAACGGATCACTTTCGACCGTGCGTTGATCCTTCTTCTACCGAACGGCAGAAGCAACTTGACTACGTGGAGTGTGCAAGTCTGCCGTTGCGGAGTTCTTCTGATGTAGATGACACGAAGTACGAGTGTGTAAGCGCAATGATGTTCGCGAGCAAGAATAACGACTCTGACATGGTACTGACAATTGCTGCTTGGACTTCGAGCAGAAGTAGAGTGCGCTGACGTTGATGGCCACACGACCTTGATTCTTGCGTGTGAAGGGGTCCTGTGGAGGTTGCAGGTTTGCTATTGTCATTTCGGCGGATGCCAACGGCTGCCATTCGGCAGGCACGAAACCGCTGCATGTGGCGGCCTTGCTTGGCGACGTGGAGATTGCCGATCTGCTACTCTGCGCCGGCGCAGACAAAAACTCGGTCGATGTTGACAGCAAGACGGCACGGTTAGTGGCTTTGCTGAGTGGTCACACGGAGCTGGTCCGTATGCTCCTGTAGGCTTAGAGGAGAACTGCCGAGAAGGCTGCGCGGGACCCATCATGGGAAGTTGTGTACGGTGCTTGGGGAGTTGTGATGACATCCTCCTGTCCGTGAGAGCGACCCGGCATGGGAATGGAATGTTGAGTGAGACTGAGTGGAAAAGCCACTGCCAGACTTGTTCGCAGTGTTTCTCTGTACCGCTTTGCGAGACAGGGCCCCCAACTCGACTGCAAAGCAAGAGGTACCGTCGACGTGATAAATGATTGCAGTGTGCCTCTGTGAGTGTTGTCACCTGCCTGGTAAGGGTGATCCATTCTGCCCGCGATTGTTGATTTCTGTCGTCTGTCTTTGTTCCCGAAAGCATCGCGAAGGGTTCCTTGCAAAGAAACGGTAGCCTCACTGGCACCACAACACTTACACAGCACAACACTTACACAGCCCACACACACCACGCGACAGTCTACACCCACATACACCATTCACATACACCACGCGACAGTATACACCGACATACGCCACGCAACCGCATCACTTACGCAGGTCACACACACTACGCCGCAGCATTTGCCTCGCTCCTACGTGACACCACACCAACGCCTTCCATCACTTACACCGCTCACCTACACCGCGCCACAGCATTTGCACACATCGCCTTCTATTTTCTCTTTTTTTAAAGCCGGGGTAGGGTCATCGGGAATCGTGGGAGCGCACCCTCTGCGGGTTTCATGCGCGTCGCATCGCTCCCGTTGTGGCGCCGTGCAAATTTCTAAACTGAACAGCGAACCCTCTGCGGGGATCGTGCGCGTCGCGTCGCTCCCGTTGTCGCGCCGTGCGTATTTCTAAACTGAACAGCGAACCCTCTGCGGGGATCGTGCGTGTCGAATCGCTCCCGTTGTGGCGCCGTGCGAAGTTTGAAAACTCGCGTCGAACCCTCTGCGGGTTTCGTGCGCGTCGAATCGCTCCCGTTGTGGCGCCGTGCGAATTTGGAACGTGAATTGCGAACCCTCTCGC